GTAAGAGAGAGAGAGCAAGAGAGAAGGGAGGAAGCTGCAAGGGACCAGAGAGGGCTCAGAGAAACAGACGGCACTGGAGGGGGAGGAGAGCCGAGTGGTGAGAACAGAAAGACTGGCGAACAGGCGGAGACAACGCTGGGTGCCAGGGGCCCCTGAGGACCATCCCCCCAGCTTCCTGAGTGCCAGGGGCTGAGCTGGGTCCCCACCTGCACACGGGGCTTGCCTCTCTTCACTGTTTCCCAGCCAGTCCCATGTGAGCCACATCATCTTCTTGGAGCCTCCGAGCTCCCCTGTGGTGGAGGGAGTAACCAGCGTTTTTGTAAAGGTGACAGCTGACCCCTAACCTGTAGCTCGCAGCTTCCTCAAAAGGGCTGACCCTCCACCCTGGTGTCTGCCAGGGATCAGCTGCCGTGGGCTAGCTCAGGCTCACGGGAGGTCGCTGGGGAAGAAAGAGCCCCACCAGGGTGGGCACATGGAAATACCCTCTGGTCCAGCCACTGGGGACCCATGGAGGGGGCCTGGCTGGCCAAAGCTAGACTCACCCACTCTCCCCCACCCCCAGAGGGTAGAGGAATAGGGATGCCTTTCTCTCCTTACATCCCAGGACCCTCCCCTTCTCAAACACCCTCTATAGCTCCCCATTACTTTTCAGATTTTCTAATTCCTTGTCTGATTTACCTTCTCTTTCCAGCTAGCCCATCCGAAAAAACTAAGGCACAGAGAGATTAAGTAATTTTCCCCCAAGGGAAACTGGGGCTAAATCTGTAAGTACCGTATGAGTTTTCCTAGTGGACGTTAGTAAAATGGGGATGAAAAGCATTCCAGGCAGAGGCAACAGTAAATGCAAAGGCCCAGAGGTAAGAGTCAACATGGATAAGAGCCCCTGGAAGGGGCTTGTTGGCCTAAAAGAGAAACTGAGGTCAAGTACATATAGCAAGGATTTATTGAGCCTATATGTCAATTGCAAGCTGGGAGACACATAGAAAAGGTTGCCCTGAAAAGTGTGTTCTGAAGAGGGCCAGCAAAGCGTAGCAGTTTATAACCACCAGGGGGAGAAATCAAAGGAGAGAGGTGGGACAGTCCCCTAATCACTCCATCAGTTTGTCTGTTGGTTGCACATGACGTATAGACCTGGGATTGTTATTACATCCTGCATGCAGGGTTCTAGGGTAAGCTTTACAAGAAGTGTCTTAGGTGATTTTATGGCTTTCTGGTGCCATTATGACTGCTTTTAAGTAAAATGGTCTTATGATGACTTTTTCAGATTAAGTAAAATGGTCTTATGATGACTTTTTCAGGACAGGTGGACGTGATTACTGACCTATCCCAGGTCTCCCAAGGCACTAAAATTTAGCTGACCTGGTCAGAGCAGATTCTTTTGGTTATCGGGGTGGAGGGACTTGGTCAGAGCTGCTAGGAGGAAAGATCCTGCAAATGGTCTTGCACTGAACATATTGCAGGGCACAGGAATGGGGTCGTGCTCCAGGTAGGCGAGGACACCAGAGGTGGAGCAGAAGGTGAGGGTCAGAGTTGAAACTGAGCTGGCCTTGGCTTGGGCAATATTGCCACCTGGTGGTCATTTTGTGAAACTGCACCCTCTTTCATTGGTTCATTCAGAAGACACATTTTGTAAGCCCATTAGCGTTCCCAGTGCATTTGACACCCACAGTGGATAGTTTTTAACAACTCCTTCCTATAAGGTAACATTATTTTCAGCAATAACCCTAAAATTTAAAAAGAAATAGTGACCATAAAAGAAATGAAAGTCAAATTTTATTTTCTGTCTGATATATTTTATGTAACTAAGTGAATTTTAATATAATTGAAATATCCACAAATGGTACAATTTAGAAAGCCACTAAATCATACCACTGATGTAATATTTTGCTGATTTGTTCATTAGTTTTAAAACAACTAAAAAACAATGTTCGCATCTTAATATTATTCAAATTCAGTAATATAGTTCATGTAGTAAAAAAAGTGTGCATTTACCAACAAATAAACATATTTCGTTATTTGCAAGGCACCGTTTTAAAATTTAAACACAAAAAATATCCAAGTGGTAACACAGAATGACAAAATTGAAGTAATCTTAGTTCCATGTCTTTATCTTTACAATCACAGTACTCTCCTCAGCTTTGAATCTAAACACAGGAAGATACAGTCTAGCATGGGGCCACTGACTCCCAAATAATTCCAAACAATTCCAAGATTACTCTCTAAATGAATGCACATGGCTGCATCTGCGTGTGTCTGGGGTTGACCGTATAACATAGGTTCTCTGAATTAACTTCCTTGTAGAATATGAAGTTCATTAAAAAATAAGCAATAAAAATATGCAACTTGGAGCTTACGTATACATTATCAATACCCAACTGTAAATAATGAAATAAGAATAAGGTCTGTACCTGAGTTAATAGTATTGTCCCAGTGTCAATTTCCTGGTCCAACAATGTGCTCACATGTCACCAAGGTTCTGGGGTCTCTCCTCTGCGGTAACCCACCTGAGTCTCATGCTCCCACTCTGCACAACAGCTAAAGCCCAGTCCCTCCCCCACAGACCACAAAATGGCCATGGGCATTCCAGATCTCCTGGCTTTACACACACAAAAGGAAAGTTTGCCTTCCCAGAAGCCCCAGCACATCTCCTTGCCTCTCCCTGGCTCTGAGTAGGTTACATGCCCACCCCGAGCTAATCACTCTGGCCAGGAGAGTGAGCATTGCCTGGAAATCGGGGATGGAGCCGATTGCTGCTGAGGGAAAAAGTGCAGGGTGCTGGCTCCATTTTACCACACCTGTTGGATTCTGCGCTCCAACACCCCAATTACCCACATGGGGCAACTAAGGCAGCATGACTCTGAGACTGTCCTTCTGGACAGAACTTGGCCAGTACTTGGGATGCCAGGGCCCAGGGAAGAGGGTGGGAGAAGCTGAGTACGGGG